GGGGGGGGTGTACCCTAGGGAGAGGGGGACACCCTTACCCTGACCTGTTCAGGTTTTATTCGTTTTTAGTAAGAGTTGCGACACAATTAGGTCATGTAAGTACCAAAGATTAGCGGTGTTACAAAAGAGTAACAAACACAGAAAAGGAGAAGAGATAAGGACGATGAGAAAGAAAGAAGGAGCAAGCCACACATGAGCACTCTCCAACTACCCACACCGCTCAAGTTTAAGCTCTGGGTTCTGAGATATTGCTTGATATGGAATGTATGAAAAGAGTACGAGGCAAATTCGTCAAATAATAACCGTAGTAAGTAAGAATCGAAACCACAAACAGCACAATTAGGCCATGTAAGCGCCGAAGATAAGAGGTGTTACAAAAGAGTAAGAAACACAGAAAAAAAGTGGAGAGAAGGACTATAAATGTTTGATAGGAAAGATGGAGCATACCCCCACCAGAGCACCCACCAACCGCCCACACCGCTCAGATTTAATGGCTGAATTCTGGAACATTACTCGATATGACATGTACAAGAACAAAACGAAGCAAACTCGTCAAATATTAACTACTGTAAGTTGGACTCGAAACCAAAAGCAAAGGGCAAACCCCATAAAAATAAACAAAATAAGGTTACGCAAATCGTTTTCCTAGAGCCACTTGCGTTTACAAACTTTTCTCTAAAGCTTAGCAAATTATTCCTCTGATGTAATCACATGCGCAAAGAGAAAGCCAGTATTCGAGACATTCAAGATTTCGATCATTAGAAAACTAATCACGCCGAAAAGGTCATCAGTCTAATACGTCGCGGAGATCACGACATTATGTCAGTATCGACAAACTGGCAATTCTACTTTGTTCTGGTGCCACATGAATTCTTTTTTATAAACGTTGGCGTTTTCACGCCTTCTTCATCGACACAATTTAGACCAATTACGAGGCTTTTTTCCAACCGTGTCCGTCAGGGCCTATCCAAAATGAGAAGGATACAACATCTCAGCAGAAAAAACGAGATACTCGATAAAAATTTTCTCCCCACTCAGGAATCGAACTCGGGTCGAACACAAAGCGTCTAACTCTACACCACAGACGCTGATCATATGAGTGTGACGCCCTTTTCAAACGTCCAGGGCACTAAGACGCGGGACTCCAAATAAAATGTCCACCTCCGATAGAACCAAACCATTGATGAAAACTTCGCCAAAAGAGCCAAAGTTCAAGGAAGCCCCATCGCAGACTGGCAGGAGCCAGGGACATATCCACACACCGCCCTGCCTGACAGCCGACCGAGATCACATCGCTTAGATGTTTAGAAAATAAAATGGTGAAATGGTATAGGTTTAACGCCCCTATCAACACTATATGGTTATTTAAGGGGCGGGACCTCCTAGTTGAACGTCCGTCTCCGATAGGACCGAGCCAAAAGGGAAGTTCGTGTAAAGTGCCTTTCCCAAGGACACAACGTCGGACCGAGCTGAGACTCGAACCCCCGAACTCGCAATCTCACGATTACGAGCCCGGTAGCCTAACCACTAGGCTACCGACGTCACTTTAGATGTTTAGTGGTTTAGAAGTAGGTGTTTTTACGCCCCCATCGACACAATCTAGAGAAGCGGGCTTCTGACCCAACCTATCAGGACCAATCCAGGCTGAGAAGGATAGAAATGATAAAATATCCCAGCAGAACGACAGAGATGCTAAATAAAAATTTCTCCCAACTCGGAAATCGAACTTGGGTCTCCTGCTAACAGCGAGCTCTGCTAACAGCAAGCCCCAAGTCATCTACAAAACAAACTCTGCAACGCTAGATAATAAACAGCCCGCCTATTACTATTGTGGAGGGCGCAGAAGATCCAATATGAGCTGGGCGATTTCCAGCTACACGTATTACGTGATCGATCCAAACTTGTTCTTTGCGCATTGGATAAGAAAGCTCGCGTAGCATCTTACAAACCATAACCTGATTCTGAGATCCTTGGTAATGAAAAACTCGTAGACGTTGGCTATGGCAATTCGTTTGATATAAAGACATTCGAGGTTCGCATCGATATTCAATCATTTCTTGGAAAAAGTGTACGGGTTTAACGCCCCTATCAACACTAGTAGGTTATTTGGTCGCTTTTAAGGACAAGCGGGCTAACCCAGGTTTCGGTGGTTTCCAGAAATCTTGACCGACATCACAAGTGGGCATTGCCCTACCTATAGGAGAAGTTTGGTTTCATTGGTGTGTATATTTTGTTTGGTTATGGTGAAAACTCTCCTTGTCTTTTAAAGAAACTGAGCAAGGGGCAAAAACTTTACCTGCGATTTTCTCAAAACAGCATTTTGCGGGATAGCCTCCTTGTGCTTAAAAGCAACATATATATATATA